CATGTTAATATTATCCTCCCATCAGTATCACAGTCTTCTAAGCATCTGCTTTACAAAAAAAAAAATCTATATTATCCCAACACATACAGCCCATCTTTCTTGGTAATTAAACTAACAAAACTAATTGAGCTCAAATAAAAACTCTATCAATACAACAAACTTACAACAGGCTTTAAATTTCACCCTCCAATCAATCTACTACATGATCGTTTTCCAATTAGTTTCCATACCACATTTTCATACATCCACCTTATCCACTCTTAAATGTTTAAAATGTAATTAACAGGTTTAAAAAATGTTTATAAAAATGTAAACTTAATATTCTGACCTACACCTCCAAGACAAAGTAACGGATTTAAACAAAACTTGGCAAGAGAAGATTCTTGGTGTAAAATCACAATGTCTGTATTTGGGAATTCTGGAGTACAGCCAATAACCAACAAAAATTTAGTGTTCTGTAAAGGCTTCTAACAATGGATAATTATTTATACCTGTATTACACTGGGCAATGTCCACTGTCTGAGGTACATTTGATATACCAGTACATGAAAATATGCAGTGATAAAACCAAACGTCAATGGAAAAATCACATTGTACATTTCGGGTTCTAAGCTTCAGATCATACCTACACACAGTGTGTTGCATAAGCTCAGTTTCTATTTAATAAATCAGGGTATACAGAGCCTTCAAAATAAATAAATTTCAATGACATCCTGAGTGCATCTGAAATTTGCTTTCACAGATTGGTGTCAATTCAGCTGACTTGGAAAATTGATAGCTAGACAGACAAATACAAAAAAACACCTCCATGATGTTTAGCTAGTGTCGTAATAACACCATTTGTTCTCCTTGAATGCTGGGTATTAATTTGCAAGCATGTCTGTTTCAAATCCATGCCCTTCTTCTCCATCAGCAAGGACAGTTACAACCAGAACTCAACTTAGCCACCAACTCTAATAAAAAAAAATGGCAGTACTATCATATTACCACTACACCTTAACACTTTTACATGACTGGCAAGAGTTTCTATACATTATGAAATTGCATCACTTATTAAAGTCAGGACTGAAATACTGCTGGTGGCCAAACACAGAAAAGAATGGAAGTGGGAACAAGAGGAACCTCAAAGACACTACATGTTTACTATGACTGGTCAAAAATTTGTGGTCATGCAAACTACCTAACTTCCAATCTCCATAAAAACAAATGTATCCATCCATGTGCTGCTGTGTTACTACTCTGGACTTTGAACTTTCAGAACTTTGTATCTTTAGAACTATTGAATCATATGCAATGGTGCACATCATGTGACATGCTTTACAAGAGAACAACATGCCAAGAGAAAAACCCAAAGGAGTGTGATGCCAAATTTTGAAACATTATATACATCTAATGAAATGTGTCTGTGTGCCTTAAACTTTTAGTGCACATGTTTTCATTAACTCTTCTAAACCTACCAAACATATTTTTGAAAATAAAATTTTGACACATGCATGTAACTCTTAATTACAGATGAGCCATCTGAGGTTGCCACAGCAGCGGAGATGTCAATGTTAGTCTGCTGGCTTGTAATACCATGTGGTATTGTAAGTAAATACCAACATTTCAAAAATACATACTGCCTCAACCTTCAGCCCTAAAAAATGGAAGCAGTATGTTCCTCCAAAACGTTGGTAACAACACAAATCCCATATGGTGTTAAAAGCCAGAAGGCCAACATCTACAGATCAGACAGTTGTTGAATTAGACACATGTTAAGAAACAGATCTTAAAAGCATAAATGTCTCTTGAAAACAAATAAAAAACAGTTTTAGTAGTCACAGTTCCTTGGAAGTCACGCTGCACCTTCCAATAAAAGCTTCATCTACATAACACATACATGAGTTGGTTTCCCTTCCTATGTACATTTTTAAAGCTTTTCTTTGCAGTGCATTTCAAATCCAGCTGTGGTTATTTCCACTGGTTGTATGGTGAGTCACTGAGTTAGCTGAGGGAGGGGCTGCAGCAATGCAGCCTATAATTAACTTGTGTCACATGCATGCTCATACTCACATACAGGGCAAAGACAAGGCAAGCAACACATCAATCCAAGGGTGTGACACTAAGTGGCATAAGCATTCATTTAATCTATAAGAGTGAGAAAGAGGAACTCCATATTTGGAGAACAATACAGTGAACAATGCTTATAATGGTACCACAGAGAACCTGAACATCTTTCCAATTTCAGAAAAGTTTCTAACAAAGGGGCTTCAATCTGCATGCCTGATCTTTATCATGTGCTCTACTTAAGATAAGGACAAGTATGTAAAAACTAATATCACCAAATGTAAATTTAATCTGAGGTTTTAATGCACCTGGAGGACCTAGCATGTACAGCATATCTTGATTCCTGGAACTAAAATAAGATTTTCAATGCACTAGCAAGCCCATATAATAAGATAAATGAATTGTATATAAAATCAATAATAAATTATTCTGAAGTATAAAATAGCAATAATTCTGCTATTACTATTACTACAGCCAATGATGATGATAAAGTAATAATCACTATAACAAACTGCAGCATTTTAAATAATAATAAAGAAAAACCTGACTCAATCAAAATCAGATCACATGATTATCTGTGCACAAGACCAGCATTTTAGTTCAAGAGACAAATTTAATTGTATTACTGAACCATAAGTTTACATTATGATATTATGGAATTAACAAAAGAACAGAAAAGTGGGCTTTATGAGATGTGCCTGGAACTCCTTGTTTAACATCAAAATATGAACATTTCAATTCTAATTAGGGGCTTCAGTGATGTATTTGTCCCATCAAAAGAAATGCTTTAATTTTAACCATGTTTTCTAAAATATGCCAATCACAAAATGCATAACTCTCCAGTTCTGGTCCAGTGACTTACTTGATAGCTTGCAAATAACTTCTTTTAACTACTCTTGTCAAAAGAAAATGTTGCTCCTTATCATTATCACCTATGATACAACAGGCATGTTCTAACTCTGCATGTATTATATAAACTACAGTTTCAATACAGTCTTTAATGGCTTCTGCATACTTTCTGTGGACATTTCTTGTCAAGAAAATATTGATTTTTAAATGTTCTTTTGGTGTGTGTGTGTGTGTGTATGTATGGATTAATGTGACGCTTTTTTTATTACTAGTAACATCACCATCACTGCCACCATTATCACCATCATTAACATAATCACCATTATCATCACTTCTATTATTTCTTTTCATTTTATTCACAGCTAGCTTAAATGATTATAACATCTGATTTCTATTAAACTATGATTTATTGTTGTTATTGTTACTATTACATTTCTTATTTATTCACAGATTTTATACTATTAACCATCAACAAGAAACATTAGGCAGAAAAAAATCATACTTATCCCAAAATACATCAAACACATAACCACTATAGACCAGATGCTGAACAAGGTAAATAAAATAGAAAAAAAGATTTGTAATACTAAGATGGGAGCTGGAATAAAAAATAAAAAGTATGTTGAGTGACAGCAGGGCAGAAGAGGTCTTTCAGCAACGGAAAGTAGCAACATGCTTGGTGTTTCATATAATGTAAACGGCGGTAAAGAAGTTTGTGAGCAGCAGTTTGTTGGCAGCCAGGAATATCCCTATGAGTCACACACACACAAATCCTGGGGGACACGTGTTCCTTCACAGCCACAGAGCCTTACAACTTAGACAGCAGACGACACTCAAGCTAAGCCACACTTGCGACAGAAATATACAGCTGATTCATGGTAAGGCCTATGTAGCTGACAGCTATGGCTAAAAGACTTGGATATATCTTAAATGATACTGATATACTGTTAATGTCTTTGAAGCACATACCTGTCAACTTAAACGTTAAAAAACGCTAAATTATGCCAGTTCATATAATAAGAATGGGCAAGTTTAAGTAAGAGTCTCATGTCTGCCAGAAAAACTGATTATGAGGCAAGTTGCCCACATTGCCTCGGTCTCCTCAGGTGTCTCTCAGATAGAGGATTCAGTGTGCCCCACAGTCATTCTGGATGTGGCAGTAAAATGAAAAATCCCATTATTGTTACCAAAATCTCAACCCTGACCTTCTAGTTACTTGCAAGTCACAGCTCCTAATTCAAATCAGTTGTGTTACCTTTATTGCCTGCTTTGTTTTAAAAAAGGTGTGGATTTCTTCACACTCACTAGGCATGTTACATTAAATAAGAACTTTTTACTTCTTTTAATCATTCCAAATACATGACAATATAGTGACCATTTTGTATTCCAATCTTTTCTGTTTTCATTAATCAAGATATCTGATAACTTTGGAAATTAACTCCCAGACTTTACCTAAACTACTGGCAAACTGCAAAACCCCCAGAATGGTAGAACACCAATGATAAATAAATAAATAAATAATCATAACAACCTCTCTTATCTTCACTGGAATTCAATAAAAAATGCAGAAATCAAAATTATATAAAAACCAAAGAATTTCTCTTCCCAGACGCACCCAGTATTTTAATATCCATAATTTCCTATGGTGTCATCACTTAACCCTTAAAGCCCAGTGTTAACTATATTTACCACCTGTTTTAACAATCAATAACTCTGCATTTTGTATTTATGTGTTTCATATGATTCTCATTATAAACAGTGATTATTTCCTTAAACAACATTAACTACTTGATCTTTGAAACAGTAAGGAGTTATGTTTTCTCTGGGGTATGGACTGGATTCTTATATATTATTTAGACAACCTTCAGCTTTAAAGGGTTAAAACACATAATTCTACTGTAAAGGTAAAGGTGTCCCTAGGCCAAAGCACCACACCACAAGGAATTCAAGGGAAATGGAGAACAAGTGCCATGCTCCCAATGAGAAAGAGCCACTGGTACCCAATGGCTAGAAGGCAAGATAGGGCTGAGAGCCGATCTGAATGTTTTGGCAAAAATAAAAATTCTGCCCCTTCTAGAAATGAAACCCCACATTACTGACTGAGCAATCACAACTATGTTTATGCGAGAGTCTGATATGGCAAACACAGTTTTATGTTTTAAACACAACTAGTATAAATTGTCAAATTGTGAAAAGCTGTATCAGAGCAAAGTTCTGAATTTACAGACCAAGAGACATGAAGAAAAAGTCTACAAGAAAGAGAAACTAAATAAAGAATTAATACGTAAGCTACATTAAAAAACCAACAATCAGTTTAAAATAACATACCATTAAGATGATTGCAAGGAAGCATTCCCTCTTTACTGAGAAAGTTGCTTAATCTTGACACTCCATTTCTATAGCAATATGCAGCAAATTTTTAAAAATTCCTTTAAAAAATAGAATAATTCCTAGTACATATAATAAAGATAATAAACCTAGAAAAGAGTCCTGGTAATAAATGTAAAACAGAAACTACTTTGAAACACCTGAGAATCTACTGCCATCAATGTCAACAAAGAAAAGTTTCAAGAACACAAGAGATAACTTATTTCCGACTCAGCACTTGGACGAGGTGTTTACTTCGCCTTCACCACACAGTAGTCTAACAATCACATAAACTGTACATGTTCTTACTTACTCATACGTGTGCTGTGTGTGCCTCATGTCTTAAAACTAAACATCCGTTGGCCAACAACACAGGAGCCAAGCTGTCTGACCCACTCCACACACCCCAAAAACCTTCACCACACCCCTCCCTGCTCACCTTCTTTCCATGTTTGCTGCTTGGTTTATTTCTGACAAACTGCCTTGTCTGCCTGCCTACAAACTCTCACACCCCACACCCCACTCTCTGTACTAATAGAACAATATGCTCATCCCACCAGTCAGTGCAATGAACTAACACTGAGTCTAACGAAATCAACATGAAAAAAGTAATGAGCATCATGGATGAGAGGTTAGCATTTCTGCTTTGCATATGGGCTTCACATTTTGTACCAGTGGCTGCTTATGTTGATTAGAGTTATAATTTTCAACAGTTCCTCTAAGCACATGCTGCGACAGTGCCTTAATATAGAACACAAATGCTTCCTTCCATAACCTTCATCATTCACAATCAACTCCTGATTAAAGTCAAATAACCCATGAAGTAGAGGAAGCATCATTAAATAACAAGTATGATAAAAGCAAATAAATAATACCAATATCTTTCAAAATCCAAGGATCTGGGAGCATCTGGAAAGATGTTCTGGATATGGCAGTGAAGAGAAAAATTGTGAACAACCCCTCTAGAAACAAAACCCAGATCACTGGCTGAATCATGCCTTATCATTACAGGGACTACATAACATTTTAATATATTTACAATTTTCCATTTGCCAAGACTTCTCACTCATCATATTTGCTAAGATCTGCACATATCCACTGAAAACTTCACATTTCTTATGTATGACTCATCAGAATTCCATACAAAATATTTACTACCTTTCCTGATGTTTATCATACTGAAAAACTATTCCTTTCATAAACTTAACAATTTTTAGCAACAACTTATCCATCACAGTTACACCGGCCCTTAAACACTTCTGGGTTACTTTATCAGTCCATTAAACAGATCTAGAAGAACTCAGTTAAATAAACTTTTATAATGAACCATTGCTATTGAGGAACTTTTCATTATTAAGTGGAAAAATGTAAACCAAATTCAACACCTAAAGCTTCTGAAATAGGGAAAAGTGAACATTCACCAAAATGAAAAGCAGGATTTGAATCTAAACAGAAAGGATGGAAAAGTGTATCCCAATGAAGAAGCTATATTTTCCAAATGCATTCTTTGCAATTTCACATTTGCCTCAATGTTAATTTATTACAATGTGGCAAACCTAAATGCATGTGACTCAGTAAGGTTAACCAAGAAGACGAGGTCACAACAACAATGCCCTACTCCTTCCACAGCAGTTGCTGGAAATAGATTAATCTGCCATAGCTTAACTCACGAACTGAAACAAGTCAAATCATGGCATGTCAAGTCATTGTACAGTGATGAGTCGCCTCAGAACATCAGGACACAGCTGGCTTCATCTCTCTTTCTCAGGTTCTTCCTGGCTACCAGACTGCCATTTC